ATGTTGAGAAACAATGAAAACATGTAAAGTTGTTCTAAAAAGTAGGAGTCATGTTCACAAGTTCAATTTCAAATCTCAGTTATTGGCAAAAAATATCATTCAGATCTTATGAATTGTCAATAGGTAAATTTGTAGTTTATAATTTTTATTTTAACTTACTTCGTACTAAACCCCTTAATTATGCCATCTTTTCTTTTCACTTTAATTCATTTTTTTTGCACCAATTTTAAACTGACAAGTCTGTCTTTTAAACAAAATCGAATTATCTCAGTCCAACAAGAAAATTAAAAAAATGCTGAGCCCTCAAGTGGAAAGTCTTAAAGCATGCTGTGCCTTTGTCAATGTAAACAATAGCATTCCAAGGATTTTGGAAACTGGGAATGGAGAAATCCAATACAATGCAAGGGTAAGTTTTATCTAGAATTAACATCCCTTGTTTTTAAAATTAAGCTACTTAAATGACAGACAAATTGACAACTGTAAAACTGGAATAATTCATTTAATTGACAGAACTAAGAATTTATTTATTTTTTACATGTGCAACTGAGCATATGAGACATTTATATACAACGTGGTTTATTGATATGTTAAAAATATTTTATTTCAAAATAAAGGTGTCTTTCAATGTGCAAACCGAAAAATTAAATGAATAAATAAACTTTCAAAATAACCTTTATGAAATGTGAAACTCGATCAGATTTATGGCAGCATCCTGCAGGTCATATTGTGTCTGACCACTTCTGCTGTCCTTTTGCCCTTTGAGTCTAAATATAATTGCAATGGCTTCTTCCTGAAAAAAAGCCCAACCCCTCCTACTATAAATGAAACAATTATCTTCCTTACATGGTTAAAAAATGAACAATGACACTATAATGTGAAAACTACTTTGAACTATTCTTATATATATATATATATATATATATATATATATATATCGCTTCCTGTAGTTCCAAGAAGCTTTTATGTAATGCAGCAGAGCAACTAATACAAGCTATGCAGCACAAAGCAAGAGCCATTTTGTGACTTTGAGGACTTTCAGCCATTTAATGAAACCAGTCTCATGCAGTGATGAAACAGCAGTGCTTTTTATGTAGCGGTAAGCCAAACAAACATCTCAAATAAAGTACACTGGCTATAATATAGGGAAAATATCACATTTAATATCTTTTTCAGCTCTTGTTTCATTTAGTAATATTTAGAAAATGGCTGCCAAAGCTAAACAACACTAAAGATGTGTTTCTCAGGACAGTGAATTGATTTAGACTCTCATATGCATCTTTAACACTGAAGAAAAATTATAAGCAACCTATAAAAGTGAGCCTACATGTTCATTTGACAATTCATGATCACATATACAGTATTACATATAACTACTGATTGTGTAATTGTGAAAAGATAACATACATTTGAGGGTTTTTTTCAGTTTAGACTCTGGTATCTGGCACATATGCAGGAACTTCAAAGCTGTCATCAATTCAGAGGGAAGTTCTTGACAAACAACCATAAAAATAATGACAGATCCAGTCATAAGCACTATACATAACATCAAAACATTCTGTGCTTTTTTTTTTATATATATATATATATACTGATATGATGACCCACAGGGTAAAAGCCTCATTGATGAGGTCCTTAAGTTGCTAAAAGTTGAAGCAAACTTTATGTTAAAACTACATAATGTGTGTCCGTTTGTAAGCGTTTAGTGTAAATAAATTATTATTATTAGAATTTCAAAACTGAACAAGTGACAATTAAAATAAAATCTTCCATTTCCAACTGTTGTCTTCAAGTTTTTCCTTTTATATTTCATGAAAAAACAAAACATGAACCTATGGAAAATGGCATCACCGTAAGTCCCCAGCAAAATCCTTGTCATTTTGTTATATTTTAAAGAATAGCCTAAATTAATAATGCCTATGTAAACAATACATTTCTGTAAAAGACAAATTATTGTTATTATGAACACAATAACATTATTTACAACTCAAAAAGAGTTTCATATTTACATATGGAAATAAGAGTAACTGTGAGTGTAGTAAAGAAACCAAAATAATTTGCTTCCACTGCATCTTTGAATCAAGACATCCTGTTTTTATTTGGTTTGGAGGGGAAATGATGGAACATGTATATTCACAATGGAGAACTACTTTCATTTTAGATGGTACTATCAGTCTAAGGAACAACATAGCGGTCTGATTTCCTCAATGTCAAGGTTTTTAAAAGTTTCACCCAAAAACGTGTTTTGCTGCTGAAAATTATTCAAACCAAACCAATTTCGATAAAATAGAAAAAAACTCAAATTTTGGTCCTAAACAATGCTTAAAAATAATCACTCTTTCACAACAAAAACACAGAGTGAAAGCTAAAATATTTTACAAGGAGCTATACTACAATAAATTATGGAATATTTGATTGAGTGCTGAGCTAGAACTGTATTAATCTGAGGTAATATACCCCATTTCATTAGGGAATTATAAATATCTACTCCATAAACATTCAATACCTTATAGCCAAAGTTTTTAATTCACACAGGCCATGTGTGACCCTAAAACAAGTAGTATTTTAGGATAAGATAAAAAAAATTTTTTTAAAAAGGTGATTTAATATTTTCTGTATTAAGCAAGTTTGTAATAATTAAAAATACAACTGCACAGTAAATAAACAAGCAACAGTTTTGTTGCTACTATTTCTAAAAAAAAAAGTAAACAAAAAATGTACAACAATCATGCCTATGTGAAATAATACTCTTAATTTTGGATAAAACAATTAACTTGCTTTAAACATTGTATTTGTGTGAAATGGATTTCATTAAAATCAGACTGAGCAGGTTTTCTACACAAGTACTGTAACATGAATCAAATGCTAAACTCATGTTATGTTAAAGTAAAAGTGTTTAAAATGTCATTAACCTTACATAGTGGTGCAATGCAGCACATACTAATCAGACAAGGTTATTTCACACGATCAGTTTAAAAATGTCAATATTAGAACCGTAATCACGGCTCAAATCAGTTTAAAACATTGTGCATCTCAAGTATAAATTTGAGTAAAGGCCCATAGGCCTTGAATTCACTTTTAGAAATACTAGCAAAATCAGGGTGTGGCTATACATATATCCCAAGGTCAGATCCGAAACCCATCTATTTTGCAGACATTGTGGTTTAAACACAGCACAGGTGATCAACCATGCTTGTAAATGTAAACAATCAAGACGCATGTTGAAAAAGAGAGAAAAATATGAAAGATCGTACCTGGAAGCATTGCTTTGAGTCGAGCCTTCATCTTCCTGCTTTTTACTCTTATTCTTCATCATGATTTTGTCTTGGGATTTGTTAATGATGGTCTTTTGTCCAGGTATTAACTGTCAAAAGTTTAAAGTGGGATGAACCATCAAAAAAAAAAAATTCCTGCCGTTGCAATATATGGAAAAGGCAAGTTGGGATTGGATAGTTTAAAATAAATAAATATTTATAGTATTTCTTAAGTTAAAAAGCATCGGAATTGAAATGACACCTGCTCGACTCTATTCGATGTCAAATATCCATGTGTCGATGGCATTTAAAGGCAACAGATTCACAGAGCCACATGCATAAATTCTTACTGCGTCATCAAACAAAGGACGATTAAAACATAACGATGAAAGCAAATAAAATCGTCAATAGAAAAGAAACGATGTAAACATACCTAATGCACTGACAGGAGGAGGATTGTAGCAGTACATTCACATCTGACAAAATATCCGATTTGTTACTTTGGCCATAACAACAAAAAAATCAAAAATATTCCAGGATTGAGACGAAAATAATAATCGGAATAATATTCGGAAAGAAAAATAATAGCAGTAATCCACCGATGGCTATTTGAATGGAGAGAGAGAGTGAGAGAGTGTGAGAAGAGCCCAGCAGAGCGCACTAAAAATGGAGGACCGCCATGGCTGCCAGCGCAAGGCAGGGAAAACAACGACTGGCCACTCTACGCACACACCAGAGCGCTTTTCGGCGAAACAAAGTCACAAAACGTCTCTATAGTCCAAAACGTAACAAAACGAACGATTTCGCACGATTACGGTGCCCCAAGAGGCAGTCAAAGTTCAGCAAAGTTGAGATACAAGTGCTATCGAGAGCCCTGCAAGGCTCAACGCTCTCCCCTTCCCAAGGTTCATCCGCCATCTAAAGCTCCTTCCCAGCTCTGAGAGCTTACCCTTTGATTGACGTTCTCTCCATTTACCCAGGGCTCAGGTGATGCACGAAAGTCCCACCCCTTTCATTTTCAATAAAAACTAGTTGTTTCATATATAAATTTAAAGCTCAAGTTAGTTCTACCCTACAAGTATAGTAGCTGAACAACTGATTAGTGGTTTTAAAGTGCAGTAGTTATCTTTGTTGATAAAATTATTTCTTTAAGCCTTCACTTCCTGCATAGACAGGAAATGAGGCAACAGACTGCCATTTTGCAGTGAGTGCTGGACTACACTGGACACCATTTTAGACCACTTAATTTGAACCCTTTTACACCTGCTCTGTATATGTAATGTACTTTGCAAACGTGATATTTGAAAGAGGAAAGTTGTGTGCGCCAAAGCTTGCAGGATGGCTCTTGTGAGCAAATGAGTGATTTTAATTCAACAAGAAATTAATAGGTGGAATAGATTAAACAAAAATAATTTGCAAAAGCTTCATAATTATGGAGTACATCAAATGAATAAAAAAAAATAAAAACAAAATAAAAAACTGTTGTGTGCAGTTGAAAATGACAAACCCTTTAATATTTGAAAATATCTCCTAGAATATCAGCTAATAATTCATAGTTTGTTAAGTAAATAACGTAGCAGACCTGTATTTTTATTTTTAAATAAGAAAATAAAAACTTAAACCTGGCCAAGGCGTGTTAAACTTCGATGTAAATGGCAAAGTAAATAATTTGCGAAACGTCATTCTTATTCTCCATCCAATAAGAGCAACTCGATATTGTTCAATCACAATTTTTTTTATTTTTCTTTTAAAAAAGGCAAGTAAGCATTTTTAAAATTTGAAATACAGGCATTTCATCAAAGCAACAATGCAGTAAAATATGAGAAAATACATACAATTGTTGAGCACATTAGCGAATGAATTAAAATATCATAGCAAATCAGAAACAAATAAAATGTCTCTTTCCAAATCCAAAAGCAAAACATGAGCCGCCATCTTCCTCATTAAGCAGTAGTCTCCACTTGACTGTCCAGAATTGGTTCTTAATGAAATCAAAAAGGAGAAGGGAAAACATGTAAACCCCAAATGTACGCTTTAAGATGCGATGACAGCTTTTCATATAAACTGTAACGTACAACTATGGTGTAGCTATGAACAAAACAAAAATAATTTTATCAGTATCCTCTTTTATATAGTTCTCAAACTAACGATTATCAAGTTTAAGACAATGGTCAATCTCCCAAGGTAGCTTCATATGGTCAATTAGAACAACTTCAAAATTAACATGCACAACTTGTCCATACAATATCAGTAGCATAATAACAGACAATAACAACAAAGTGCATTATTTTTCATAAATTGATGGTAAAATGCTTATAGAAAACTGCTACGTAGTTTCCGCAGCTTTTGCATGATTTCGTTACATTCACCTACAGATGCAGGTGCAAGGAACTCTATTCGCACAATTTCAGAAGCATTAATCACAAGAAACATCACTACAGAAACCTTTTCTTTCAACTACCGGAAAATCTATAATACCTGGATTTGGTTCACTTCTAAGTTCTTATTACTAAGTATTTATTAATTTGGTACTCAGAAAGTAGCTTTATGATAGACCCATAGTTTAAATGATCACAACATAAAAAAAGAAACAGAAACAAAAACATTAAAAGCATTTTGAAATCCTGTAGTGTTACAACATATGTCTGTCATTAGCTATCATTTCTGTAAATGTGCTTCACAAAAGGTTACTTTATTCCAATCTTTGTAATAATAGGCATTAGCCGCGTTTACATGGACCCTACTAATCTGTTCGTAATAGGAATAGAAGCACAATCAGAAAAAAAACAAAAAAACATCACATGTAACCAAGTCAATCAGATTGAATTGGCCAGATCAGATTCAGATTTCGATCGGATTGTAAGGGGTGGTTTATTCCTTTTGTAATCCGAGCGAGAGGACATTTAAACACTTGATCGGATTGAAAACCGAAACTGGAAAGTACTGCGTATGTGCAGGGACATAAAAATAGCGTAATGACGTATGACGCGCGGAACGAGCGGTTCTTCCTGGTGAATGAAGTGTCATAAGTGAGTGTCCCGTCATTATAAAACTCCCCTTTCACTCAGCGTATGTGAAGTGGAGCAGCACAACATCCCACCAGTCCTTGTTTAAGACCATCATCCACAGACGACTGATTTTGGGTGTGGGAAGGGGCACTTTTACTGCTTTATAAAGTAAGCAGCACAGCACAACAGTTCATGTGCTGGTCGTCGCCTAATTAGGACCCGAAGTAGATAAATATCAAGTGTGCTTTTTAAAACAGTATGCGACAACAGCGGAAAACTCTGTATATTCATGCAGTGTGCGCATGTCAAAAGAGTAAATTCGATCAGAATCTTGTGACATAAACACGCATATCAACTCGATCACTTTATTTAGCGTTCATGTAAACACTACGTTTGGATTCGTCAATCAGAATGAATTCATTCCAATGGAAGCAAAAAGAGTCCATGTAAACGTACGTACCTACTGACACAAGAACAAAGATGTATCCAATAGTCATTGATACAAGAATAAAGATGTATCCAAGTTAGAAGTCTACAGAGTTAAAAGGCATTGAAATGAATAAGTGAGAACTTCTATTATTGAAGTTTAATAAATTACTGTAGTGTGTCTGTCCTTGTGATAATGTTATTACAATGTGCAACTTGGGCCAAAATTAAAAATGTATTAAAGAACATGATCAAAAAACAACAACAACTGTAAAATCGATACATTTATGTCATTCGGATTGTTTAGGCTGCTGAGACTTCATTCTTATATATATATTTTTTTTTTTTTTTTTTTTTTTAAGTGTCACTAAGTGGCTTAACCACCAAAAATGAGAAGTGACATTAGAAAAGGTCTATTCATAAATAGAGAAATTTGCGTACAGATGTGTATAAGTGCAAATATACACTGAACAAAATTATAAACGCAACACTTTTGTTTTTGCCCCAATTTTTCATGAGCTTAACTCAGGGATTTTACAGAAAGAAAACAAGTTGTCCCAAATGTTACAAACAAAAAAATTCCCAAAGGGCCAGGTATGAAGTACATTTAATAAAAGCCAGGCTTCTGAAAAGTGATTAAAAAGACTCCAAGTCACAGCTTCATTCTCAATAAACGCAAGGCATTTGCTTACTGATAATGTCAGTAGCTTTATTCTCAAGTTAAGTTCATTTTCCTTCGAAACTGTTTGAATCCCTTTTGATCAACAATGTCAATAAGATAATTAGATGGTAGATCAAATTAAACAGTGTCTTAATATGAAGAACATGGAATAATGCACTGGAATAGGCACACTATTTAATGTGCAATGGTAACAGACCATGTTTTCTGGTCTGTCCCTATCTGGATACCCATCCCAAAATCAAAAGCAGAAAAAGTTTCACTCTACACGTCACACAGAGAAACCGGAAATGCAGTGAAGTGTATTCCAGTATAAATGTGGCACTAGTGCAAGTGACAGCGAACTCTTCCAACGCATAATGAAGTATGCAACAGCCAGTGAAAACAAGAGGAGGCCAATTGTGGCACAGAATCAAGGTGTGTAAAACAAGTTACACAAAAGCAGAATAGACTCCACAAGAAACGAGTCACTGATCTCAAGAAAGGTTTCCACTGAAAACAAGATGAAGTGAAGACAGCACCCAAGCATGCTCAGGTACTGAAGACAAGTAAATGTAAAACGTGCGGTCATCAATACGAAGTGAAAAAAGCGGAACATTTACACTTTTCCAAGCTGTAACAAGGTAGCCATTCTCAACGCCACTCTATTAAGCTTTGAAATTTTTCTTAACCTTCTGTGAAACTGATGAACTGCAGCGATTCTAAATTAACTATTTCGACGAAACGTCCATTTTATGCTGTTTCCTGACTACTACATTTGCTGGTGCTAAAATACGGTACTAGAGCTGTGGAACCTAAATGTAGCTAAAATAACAGACATATGGAGTAAAACCTTAATAATACAAATAACACTGTGAGGACTTACAGAGTAGTCTTCCCTTCCTTGAAACTTTGCTGAAGCTTCCTCTTCAGGCAAACATCACCTGCAGGGATAAAGAGAATCGGTGAGATCAGAAGTATAAAACATTCCACTGTCATTTGAGAACACATTAGCTGCTTGAGTTAATGTCACATTTAGTGCTGGGTATCGAGTTCGATACTTTTTTGGCACAGACTGAATTGCCTTGTCTTGTTGTTCGGTACCAAATTTCGATACCCAAGGGGTTAATCTGGTCAATGTCAGTGAGCCAATAAGCATACAGCATGCTTTATGTGCCTAAATCAGTGATTGGCTCTGGCGAGGCTTCAAAGAAAACGCATCTGTGACCATTCATGCACACTGTAGCATCAAGCTACATAAGACAATTTATAAAATTTATACTATGCTTTTTTTGTAATATGCTCAAAACTCGCTTTAAACCACCATTGAGTGTTTATAATAACTTCAGATTGTGATCTAATGAGGTTTTGGTCATATAATGTTGCAGAAATTTGTTATTTGTAGCCTTTTATATCAAGCTAATCGCTACACCTGCTTAGCATTTCTCATGTAAACACACTGTATTGTTATGAAAATAGCCAGAATCTCATGAAAATCATACAAATCATATACTGTCATAATCAAGTGTTTTTAGCTTCATGTTTAATCCATAGAAATGTTTTTCTGAAGTGTAACACGTTCGCAACGGAGACAGGGCGGGTTATGAACACGTAATATGAGTGACAGATGAGCAGTGAATGAGCTTCCTCTGAGACAGAACAGTGATCGTGGAAGTTATCAATAATTAGATTCCTTTACTCTGGCTGCAATGAAGTAGCTAACTTATAGGGGTGTGAACCTACACTGGTCTCACGGTTCGGTTCGGTTACGATTATCATGTCATCGATTCGATTCAATTCGATATCACGATGCAACACAATGCATTGACAACGCACTGCATCCTCAATTTTACTTAACATTTATTCAATTGTGTCAAATACAAGCAGTCAGATATATGAACTGTACCTGACCTGATTTCTTAAGTTAGTGGTATTACCCCCTGCTAGTGATGTGGCATTTGAACTGAGGCATCTGAGCTTGTGTCGAGAATAAATAGGCATGCCAGATGAAGCCTCGATTCGAAGCTTGTGTTGTGTTGTTAATTGTCATTGAAATCACATGACCAATGACAAATGAAGCTTCACTTTCTGTCCAGTCATGTGCGCGATTCACTTTGCGTGTTGAAATGTTCAATCCCCCAGATCTTACTTAACGAATAAGTTTTAATCCGGATTTATTCAGTTACATTTTAGATACCCAGTCATATAAGTAATATGAAGAATACAAATTATTTCGGAAAAATTCAATGTGTGTCATATGCAATTCATATGAGTACATTATTCTTCTATTACATCATATTGATATTCGTACTGGTATTAAATTGCACAGTTTAATGGGTAAATGAATTTCTCAGAAACTCAACACAAACACTGTTAGGCTTTTATTTGTGCACATAACTTGAATCGATCTGTGGAATATGTGGTAGATGCCTCGTCCTCCGGAGCATCTTTCACAGGCTTTTGGCTGCTATATTTTTATGAACCACCAGATGGCGCTGTTTTCGAGACACTCGAAGCTTTGAATCTTTTCCCGAAACAGTCAGTTTCCCTCAGTGCTTCACGAGGCTTCATTTGCCCATCCCTACCCCCTACATATTTCATTGTGCGTGACATGACTTACACACAGCGTGTCTTCTCCAGGTCGTGCTCAGGTTGTTCATAAAAGCCTAAATGTGGCCAGATGTCGGCTTTTAAAGTAGTTGGAGCATTTTTAATTACTCGCACTCGCGTCCCTCCGCCATTAGGCGCGTTCGATTTAAAGCAGCGCTGCGCAGGATGAGAGTATGACACCAACCGCGAAAGCATAAGGATCCGTCCGCTCTCTTATCGCTCTCGCGGAACTTGGTCATACACTGATCATTGTGCGCAGCGGCGCTTCAAGCCGAACACGCCTAATGTATGCTACCGAGACAAATGACGTCAGAAAAGCGTCAGTACGTCATAATCGGTTATGGTCTATTACTGAACCGATACCGAATCGTCCTCGTCTGCAACGCGATGCATCGAAGAAACGATTAATTTCGACACCCCTACTAACTTGCTACCACAAACCACATTTTGAGCAGGAATTGCAGTGCTATTACCTCAAGCTCAAACAGTAGATCCTCACGCTAACTAATGGTAAGGGTGTGGGTTCGATTCCCAGGGAAAGCATGAACTGACAACTGTTGAATTAAAGTTTCTGGGTGCTAAATTTTCATAAACTGAAGTCAGAACTGAAAGGTGTTGTAAAGCGTTCAATAAAATGCAATGAGCTTGTGGTATGCTGGCAAACTTAAATTATTATTATTATTAATAATAATAATAATGATAATTGGTTGTCAAATAAAACAACAACAAACCAAAATGTAACTGGAGTGACAATTACTTTAAATAAATTCTTATTGTAATTATAAGAATTTCTTGTAATGTGATGCATCCTTTAATTTTTTTTTTTTTTTTTTCCGTTTGCTGCATTAAAGTTGTTCACACTAGGGATGCTGACATGTTCTCAGGGGTAAAATATAAATTACTGTAATTGAATGAATAATTTAAACAATTAAAATGAATTCAATTAGTAAAAATCGCAATGTTCCAGATAGGGGTGTGCGATATTGACAAAAAATAATATCTCGATATTTTCTGGGATTTTATCGATGACGATAATTAGACGATATTTTGCTGAGTGTGTTGTTGTGCTGGTACCTTAAGGACTGCCGAAGACAGCTGACTCATAATGTTTTTAATATTCTTCATATTCTGTGTGGTGGTCAGTTCATACTGATAGAAATTAATCTTGTTTAAACTGATTTTTGCATTTTATGGGCATTTTTACCTTTATAAAATGTCACATTCTTACATATAATCAGGGAATTAGAATAATAAGACATTTGGGCTGTTACCAAGCAAATTAAATCAACACAGAAGCTGCATCTGAAGTGGCATTTAGATGTATTTACACACATGTATTTTGTTTAATGCAAGACATGAATGCATTTAACCTGCAATTACAAATGCATAAATAATGTTTTGATATATTAAACATAAAACGTTGAATACTGATATTTGAAATGATTTAAAACATGAAAAAAAGAAAAAAAGAAAAAGCCGAAATTTGAAATGAAAACCGCCAGCAGGTGGCAGCAAATCACTGTTAATAAGTGAGTCATTGCGATTGAACCGAATCATTTAAACGGTTGATTCATTCAAGAAAGAAACACCTCTAGACTTCACGTAATGTATGCGTGCGCTCTGTAGGGATGTTTAGGATGGTTTTTGCAAAATACTCGATAATGTCAAATCGCACATCGTTAAAATGACAATTACGATATTATCGCAGACGATATATATCGCACACCCCTAGTTCCAGATATTCATTGTGCAATGAAAAGCAAATTATGCCATTAGGTATATTGTCTAATATGACAAAACATTTTTCTAGAAATTTTTTTAATTGAAAGTGATAATTGTCACGTACAAAGGTTATACATACAGGCCTAAATAGGGTTTTATTTTTTTCTATTAATAAATGCATTTTTTCTGTCTGCATTTCATCGTTAAAGTTGGATGTTAAAGGGGTCATATGATGCAATTTCAATTTTTCCTTTCTCTTTGGAGTGTTACAAGCTCTTGGTGCATAAAAAGATCTGTAAAGTTGCAAAGACTAAAGTCTCAAATCCAAAGAGATATTCTTTATAAAAGTTAAGAGTCAACCACTCCTACCTAAAACGGCTCGTTCTAACATGTCCCCACATGTCTACGTCATGATGTGGAAAGATTTGCATAACGCTGCCCAAATGTTCACGCAAAGAAAGAAGGCGTAAATTTAAATTCTTGCTATTGCCACCGCTGCCAAGTTGTGGAGTCGCTGTGTGTTTCCTTGTGAAAGCGAAACTACTTTGTTTGGACTTCCAAAAGAGAACACAACTAGAAATCAGTGGTTAAGTTGTATTTACAACACTGTTCCAGAACAGTTCAACAAAAATATTCAGATGTGTGCAGCACATTTTATGGAGGACTGTTTACTGATCCTGGGAGAGTAACGTTAGACTAAAATGCCGGCAGTTCTGACTCACGTAAGTACGTTTTCATTTAAAGGATTTGCCACTGATGATTCAAACGCGAGTTTTGGGCAGTGTAGA